AGAGTCAAATATGTATATATGTATTTGATATGACATAATAAACTCCAAAGCTTTTTATGATATTATTAGTTCATTTATTAATTCTTTATAATTTTCTGATTTATGGTTGCGAAGAAAGTTCGGGGCAGCAATCACAAAGCATTGCCGGATAAGTTTCTATTTTCCTTTCCTTATACTAAGCTTTATCAGCCGTCGCATTTTTTGGAGCTCTAAAAATTCCCTCTTCAAGTTGAAGTGTCACTGCTTAGGTCTGTATCTTGAGATACCGTATCGGGCTGACCTAGGAATCTGGTCTTTCTGTACAATTTGGAGGTTTTGGTCCAGACAAGTCGGCACTATGTATGTATTGTAGTTTGGGCCTTTTGGCGGAAGACAAGTTTGAACAGTGGATAATGGGTTTGGACTGGGTTGAAGTAACTTTTGTTTGAGTCAATGGCAGTGCACAATGCTTATCACAGCCGGTTGCATATATTGGGTCATAAAACCCGTGCGGCAGTTAAACTCGAAAAAGTAATTATGCAGAAAGTTTAGTTTTCATAAGTAACATACCGATTGTCATATTTAAAAAGGATCAAAAAATTTACTTTATTTTATACGAAAAAAAATGAATTATGTGTTGTAAAATCTTTAGTGGAGAACACTTTTGCTTTTGATCTGTATTGAATTCAATGGGACATCTATCTTGTTCAAAGAAAATGCCACTTTTTTTATCAAGAGTCGAAGAACTCTAATTTTCATATATATATATTTAAACATTAATTTCTTTTTACTCGTCATCCTTATAACAAATAAAATCGTGATAGAATTTAAAATAATATTTGTGTGTATGTATATAAATATGCAAACGAAAATTTATGAAGCACAGAAGACAGCTCCTAAGCTACACCAGAAAAAATGTAAATCTAAAATAATTAAAAGTCACTTAAATCAAATCAAATATTAGTAACAACATACATACATAAATATTACATAGGTAATGCAGGTGTAAAAGAAAAAATATATATAATGACACAACTTAAAAATTAATATGTCTATGATCAAATGATGTATGTATGTATGTACATTTAGTGATATTCAAATACAACAAATTTCTAAATTAAATAAAATCAACTCAATAAATTTATATGCCACATACTCGTGTATATGTATATACATACATACATATATATGGATGTCTGTATTACAGATTTAAATAATATATTATATGTATGTAAGTAAATTATGCAAAAAAGTGATTAAACAAAAAAAAACAAAAACAAAAACAAAGACCCACAAAAACAAAATTAACTGCAAAATACGCCTATTTCGATTTTTACTAAATATTTCTAATAATTGCAAGATAAAATAGAAAAACAAAAAGCAAAACAAAATGTTTACAAATTCGATGAAAATAGCGTAAAAATGCAAAATAGTTTTCGGCGCTGTTCAGCCGATTTTTTTTAAGAATATTTCAAAAAAAAAATATAAAAATAAGAGTAATAATAATTGATATTACAAAGCAAATGCAAAAATCAAAAATATTAAAACAAATTTAATACTTTATCACTTTACAATAATTAACATGAATAAACAAGCAAAGCATGAAATATATAATAAATATAATATTTAGCAGAAAGTTACCAAACAAATTAAAAATTTTCTGAAATTTAGTGTCTTTATACTTAAAAATCCTCATAAAATTTCGCAACATACCAATTAAGTAAACGTAACGAAATAAACAATATACAATACATATATTCAAATGTAGTTTATGCAAAACGACACATTGATTGCTCTTGCGAAACTTTCAACTTGATAAAATTTATAAAAATTAATATGTATGTATATGTATGCATAACAAATAGTGTTTATTATGATGGAAAAGTAAATAATATAATTAAACAATTTACTGGAAATTTTTGAATGTGTCATATGTATGTATGTATGGAAAAACAACCACAAATAAAATGTTTAATATGGCATTAAAACAAAATTTAATTGATGTCCGTTATATTTATAAAGCAAAACTCTTAATTGAGTTACATAATTGAAAAGCAAAAAAAGAAAAACAAAACAAATAGAAACAACAAAAAGTATAAATGTGAAATAGAACCCAAAATATGAAAAAAAAACACAACAAAAGATTTATTGCAAACAAAATGAATAAAAGAGAAACAAATTATTAAAAGCAAATCTTAAATGCGTTTTACTGGAATCTAAGGAATTTGGTTTTCAAAAATAAATTACTAATTATATTTTATAATATTTATTTTGATGTTTTATTTTTTTAAACAATTTATATAAAATTTACGTTACTACTTTCGTTCACTTGTATGGTCAAACATTTTTTTTAAGGGGCACACCTACTGTGAAATTTCATAAAAATCGATGTTTTTTCATATTTCTTAGATTATACATTTAAAAATAACATATTAAAATTTCAAATCGATATCTCAAATAGTTTTTGAGTTATAGCAATTTAAAGAGCAGCCGCTCGGCAGCTAGAGCGTCTCATTAGCTACGAGTGAAAGCGATCACTTTATCTTTAAACACGAAACAGCATTTTCCGAATTTGCTACAGTGATTACTCAAGAACAAATGATCCGATCACTATCGATTTTTTTTATATGTTCTACATATAGTACAATAACTTATCGATTTTTGATCTGATCAAAAAATCGAATTTTGGTAGGCCAAAAAACGACCAAAATTTTGGGTAAAATTCGACTTTTTTTTTTAAAACGCTAAATTGACCATTCTTGGTTTTTTTTATCGTAGGTCATTGTACAAACAATATTATCTAGTTTAACGAGAATTTATTTTTTTAGATTTCATCCACGGAGAAGGCCGGGAAGGACCCAAAATCCACTTTTTTTTAAGCCATTACATCAGGTGTGCTCCTTAATGCGAATACGCTTTTCGATAAATTAAAACAAAGATTACATGGCCATGTACGACTTTAATATTGGGCTAGTAAAGAGAAATCCATTATTTTTTCAAGAAATTGAACCATAACTAGAATAATCCGAATTGAGTCAGATATGCGCCGTTTTGTTCGATAACATAATTATTATACTAATTATTTTAAAGGTAATTTCCTTATGCCTCTCTCCTAGAAGCCCTCGTTCCTATTGGCAAGAAATTGAGACAGTCAATTTTCATAAGCCTCTCTTGAAGCGAATTTTTCATCAGCAAAATTGTTCGTCAAGGACAGAGACAGATGGTAATCAATTGGTGCCCGGTCCGGACTATAAGGTAGATGCACAAGAACCTCACAACCAAGCTTTCGGAGCTTCTGGGGAGTCACTATCGATGCATGTGGCCCCACGTTGCCCCAAAAAACACAATTCTCCTTCTGTTGGCCAGTTCCGAATTAAGAGTTTCGCCGTAGGGGAGCAGCTCATAGTCGATGATCCCTAAAAAATACCACCAAACCCACAACAAAACTTCGCTGGCATTCAATGCTTGCTTGCGGATAATGCCATCTACCACGACCGTTTTCGTTTGACGTTGCTGTGAGTGATTTTTGCTTTCTACGTCCAAATCACCATTTTTTTTTTTTAATTTTTACTGCCACTGCCGACTTCTTCGCTTCAAAACGCCGAAATCTTACTGGTATACTAAATATTTTTTCTTCCTCGGATCTAAATGCATTTTTTTTTTGGCATCTTAAGGTGAAAAAATTCCGGACTGACAACTCGAACTCATTGCAGATTGTCATTGCTCTGTTTTTCTGCCTTTCATGTACATTAAATGGTATATTATCTATGAGGAGAGGCTGAGAAGTTCGCTACCTAAAGGTCTTAGTGAAACATTCACTAGGGTGGATGGTCAATTTCTGTAAATTCAGTAGCTTTTACGGCATCCCTAACAACGGTATGTGGTTTTGAAGAAAGAGCACTCCGCCCCCTCAAGTTTGCGTAATACTGGATGTTCACTGTAGGTCCTTTTGGCAAGAAATCAATTAATAATATTCCCTCGCTATCCCAGAAAATGGTTGCCATAAAATTCGACACCGACTTTTCCATTTCCTTTTTCACTGCATCGACCTGTTTGGACTTGGGATCAGACTGACGAATCCAAGTTTCATCAACTGACTTGCAAATTTCGTCCAAATCATGTTGGCACAACTCCAAAAAACGCAACGCCCACTAATTTACATATTCAAAGGCAAAATTTGTAATCCTTCTGCCATCTGGCACAATTTAATTCTTCAATTCATTATTATTATCAGTATTATTTTTTTTTGACTTTCTGAACATTTTTTCGGTTACGACCGTCACTTTGAGGCCCGGTCGGGTGTCATCTTCACAGGTCTCTTTTTCTTGTTGAAGTAGCCGAGCTCATTCTTTTATTATCGTATATGAAGGGACACAGTCCTGAACAGTCGATGACATCTCTTTAACAATTTCTTTCAGCGAAATTCCTTTTTTACAAGAAATCACAGCGCGGTGCTCCAAATTGGGAGAATTCCCAATTTCCATTGAAATAGTGTTTTGCTTGTTCCAGGAACAAAAAGTTGTGTTATTTATACTAATAATCAGTTTCGTAATTGGTATTATCTGTACAGAGAACATATGTAATTTATAACTACCTTAGGACCCGAAAAAGTCATCCGTCCCTTGTATTTAGCGATATTCGGCCGAGCTCCTGCTTCAATTTGGGGTATGTATATTGAACCCTGACCTTCGGAATGGCAGTACGTAATGCTTACATATCGGCTATCGCAGTAGGCAGAAGTATCATATTTCAACCTACCAGCCAACCAAATTCGGAACCGTTCAGATTGGACCAGAAAGTTTCCGCATATTTTTCGGCCACATTATTCCGATTGGGTCTGTAAGCCAATCTATACGTCATCGTAACTCCTCCAACTAAAAATGAAACGAACAAAGTTATGAAAGATTCATTGAACTGCTTCTCTGTTATTTTGAAGCGTGGAAGGCAGTACCGCATTATTAATTTTAATTAATGAAATTAACCTCATTATCTCCAGGGAGGCTTCAATAAAACCAAAGTTCAGTGTTAAAAATAACAATTAAATTTATTAAAAATTTATCAATAAGCAATTGAGCTTATTATGTATATCTTTATCGTTCTTGTTTTTCTGTGGCAGTGTATTATAATTAGTAAGTTTGCAAACAGTGTTGTTGGCCGTGAGGCATTTAAAGTGCTATTTAATGCTGCTTTAACATTATGACATGACAAACTATTAATCCTCTTAAGTTAGTTAAAATATTACATTTTGTTAGGAATTTAAAAATACATATGAGTTAAGCTAGAGCTTATTTTTAACAACTAATTTATTACTGTGTGTGAAAAATATCGATTATTTTTATTTTTTTTTTATTGAAAAAAAAAAAAAATAGAAATAAAAATCTAACATTTTCCATTGGTTGGTGCCTTCGGCCGACAGATTTTACTGCGTCCATTTGCGCCATAAACTATGTTGCATGAGAATGTGAAGTAGCCACAAGTGGATGATTTTGTGTAGTATGTCGACTGGAAGTTTTTATTCTCCTGCGGTGGATTCTTAGTATTATCCATGCTACCTGTAATCGATTTGGTTACTGTTACATAACTATCCGGCGAGCGGTGTTTACTTGGACTCGGCTGCTCTTCGGTACTATCTAGATCGTTGTCAGTGGGTTGTGATTTAACGGCTTTAGTGTGAAATTTTTTCTCCACATTAACAGTGCCACGGAAGCCGCGCGGCACCATTTCCGTGGTCGATCGGAAAGGATATTTCTGTACACGACCATTTTGATTTTGTACTAATAGATATTTGTCTGGTGAATTGGGTACAGCGGCTTGTTGGCTCTGAGTCGGGGAATTTTGTGAGTAAGTGCGATATGGCGATTTAGATTCGGTTTTGCTGTCACTCTGACTCTCCGATTCTTGTGGACTCTTTTCGTTGTAGTATTCATCATCGTCGTCGTATTCATCGTATGGTCCTTCCTCTTCATCTTCGTTTATTGTAGAATCGTCGTCCGTAACCTTGTTGGCGTTTACGACTGGAAAATGTTATTGATTAAATAATTGTAATTAATATATATGTATGTATGTAAAGGGTACCCAATAAGAGTTGTTATTTTGAATAGCCTGATATTTCGAAAGATGTGTGTAATTTTTGGCATTTGAAATTTTTAAAATTCACTATAAAAATGGTGAAATCCCGCTAGGGTTGATCGTCGTGTAGCACCTTGTCGGACCGCAGTTTGGGAACGGATGGGAAAACATGGAGCTGTTGTGGCAAGTTAGTGATGTGAGGAATAAAACACAAGCACGTTGCTCAAGAACAACTGAGAATATTGCTGCTGTAGCCGAAAGTGTTGAAAAAAACCCGGGTTTGTCCATTACTCGTCGTTCTTAGACATTGGTCATTTTACAAACATCATTACACCATATTTTGCATAAAGACTTGGGTCTTAAAGCTTATAGAAATCACTTAACACAAGAACTCATGCCGGCTCATCATCAATTGATCGTGTCATTACTGATTGTCCCTCAAAATGCATGAAAATGATCCAAAGTTTTATAAAGAAATCATTTAGATCCATAAGACCCATTTGTACCTCGACGGCTACGGCAATAAGCAAAACTGTCACATCGGTGGCTCGTAAACCCCAAGATTTATTGTTCACGTAGTTGGATGGTATTGATCTGGACGGCGCTACACAAGCAACGAAACTATCGGTCCTTTAAGGAAAAAGTTTCCGGACCATGTTATCTTTCGAAGAGGTGATCACAATTGGCCAGCGAGATCTTGTGATACCTTGTGACTTTTTTTTGGATCCACGTAAAAGATAAGGCCTAAGTTGAGGACACACAGCAGCCACTTTGCGATTTTGTGATGGAAAAATTCATAAAGGGGATGCTCATTCGATCATTTATCTCAAAAAATGCAATTTTTCTTAGAATATCGAAATAACACTTCTTATTGGAAAACCTGTATATATGTACATATATGTATAATTACTAAAAATGTGGACTCGCAGAAATTTTTGCATTTCTTAAATTAATTATTAAATAATTTCGGATATTTTCTGCGACTCAAGTTTTACTCAGTCTTGTCAAGTTCTTGTATAGTTCTCTTTTCTATAAACTCAGTCACTAAGAGCGTTTATGTCTATAGAACTAGAATTGGTGACTTAAGCCAACCATCTGAGGCTCTCGTCTCACCATGGCTTATAGAGGCGCTAGTATGCCATAACATAAATTTAAGAATTTTTCTAATTGCCCAATTCCTCTGATAAGATTGATGTATTGTGTTTTAATCTCACACATCTTCCGAAATTTAAAAGTTAGAAATTTTATTTTGACCTACTCTCTTTTACACTTTTTGAAGACTTCAACTCAAGATCTGGTAACGCGTTGCCGTCAGCTGTCAGTGCGGTTCCACTAGGTCCACTATATACGGTATCTACACGATCAGTTACACTAGAAATAATTGTTTTTGTTTTGGTTAGTTTTTTGTTTTGTTTGAGTCTAAATTAGGAAGGGTAGTTAACTTACGCGTCTGTGTTGCCAAACTGGCTTATACTATGGAATAATTCACGATTTTGTTCACGATAGCTTGCAACTTGTTCCTTAGTTCCGGATGCAGATTGAGCGGCACCATGGTATGATACACCGAAACTGTAATGAATTTTGTTTGAAATATATTATTTATTTTTCTTAAAAACTACCAATTGATATTTTTACTGAACATACTTAGATGTGCCCTGAATTTGCGATTGACTCTGTCCCGAGTGACTGCCAGACTGAGCAGAAGCCTGTCCACCGCCGGTGGTTGGTGGTAAAGCGCTGCCATCTTGATTGGGTCGGAAACCGATTTGTGCTTGTGATGACGTTTGACCTGGTCCACTGGACTGCGAGTCGGCTAAACCACCCTTATCATTAGCTTGTACCTATCGTAGCAGATAATCGTTAAACATGTTTGAGCGCATTTTCAGAACTTATGTTTCAGCATACCTCGCTCTGACTTTGATGGATTACGCCGCCACTTTGTGAGGAAGCTTTCGTGCCGCCATTTTTGGAATTTACTTGCACCTGAGCTTGTGATTGCGCGGCGCCACCTTGCCCTTGTGACTGACTCATTGCTCCATCACCATTTCCACTGACTTGCGCATTAGCGGAACGGTCGCTGTCGGATGTTGAAGCACTGGCACTGAATGTTCCAGTGGCACTGTAAGTACCCGATACTTGAGTTTTTGCTGTACCACCATTCTTTTTGCCTTGAGCACTGGCAGCCGCTTGGCCTTCGCTAATAGATGATTCAGCTTGTGAGAATGCATCATCGGTTCCTCCTTCACCAGCTGCTGTTACCAAATTGCTTGGTCCTTTAATTAAATATTTTTATGATGTGATGTTTTTTTAAGTGTTTCAGAGTGCCTGCACTCTTTAGAATAATTACCTTCCTCCTTATACTCACCCAAAGCTCCCGTTCCAGGGACGGCAGCTCCAGGGTAGACTAGAGCACCAGGTGATACGGACTCACTACCAGGTACAACGCCACCTGTTCCGTAGATGCCGCCTTGCTGTCCTCTTGAACCATCACCACCAACTTGACCATATGTGGATTGAGGTACAGAATAATATGTTCCCGATGGGCCGCCACCTGGTTGGGCGCTTGTAGCTCCGGGCCCATAAACACCTCCTGCGCCAGGTCCTCCGTAGCTTGGACCGTAGCTAACACCTGGTTGAAGCCCTGAACCGGGTTGCAGACCGGCGCCAGGTTGTAGTCCTGCTCCAGCTTGAAGTCCAGTTCCTGGTTGATATCCTGCACCGGGCTGATATCCTGTGCCTGGCTGAAGTACTGCGCCCGGTTGAAGACCAGCGCCTGGTTGAAGGCCTACACCAGGTTGCAGACCAGCGCCTGGTTGTATTCCTGTACCTGGTTGAAGTCCTGCACCAGGTTGATAACCTGAACCGGGTTGATATTCTGCCCCTGGTTGGACTCCAGCGCCTGGTTGCAGTCCTGCTCCCGGTTGTAGTCCAGCGCTTGGTTGAAGTCGCCCTCCTGGTTGTAGTCCTGCGCCTGGTCGATATCCTGTGCCTGGTTGAACTCCTGCACCCGGTTGAAGTCCTGCGCCTGGTTGATATCCTGCTCCTGGTTGATAAATTGAACCGGGTTGATATCCTGCCCCTGGTTGTAGTCCTGTTCCCGGTTGTAGTCCAGCGCCTGGTTGAAGTCGCCCTCCTGGTAGTAGTCCTGCACCTGGTTGAAGTCCTGCACCAGGTTGATAACCTGAACCGGGTTGATATTCTGCTCCTGGTTGGACTCCAACCCCTGGTTGCAGTCCTGTTCCCGGTTGTAGTCCTGCGCTGGGTTGAAGTCGCCCTCCGGGTTGTAGTCCTGCGCCTGGATGCAGACTTGCATCTGGTTGATAACCTGAACCGGGTTGATATTCTGCCCCTGGTTGGACTCCAGCTCCCGGTTGCAGTCCTACTCTCGGTTGTAGTCCAGTGCCTGGATGTAGACCAGTACCTTGTTGGATTCCTGGATGCAGACCTGCACCTGGTTGATAACTTGAACCGGGTTGATATCCTGAGCCTGGTTTATATCCTGCACCTGGTTGTAATCCCATGTCCGGTCGAATTCCAGCACTTGGTTGATATCCTGCACCTGGTTGAAGTCCTGGACCTGGTTGATATCCTGCACCTGGTTGAAGCCCTGAACCAGGTTGTAGACCAGCACCTGATTGGAGTCCTGCGCCTGGTTGAGGCCCTATACCTGGTTGTAGTCCTGCACCTGGATGATATCCTGCACCGGGCTGAAGTCCTGCACCCGGTTGTAGTCCAGCGCCTGGTTGAAGCCCCGCACCCGGTTGAAGTCCTGCACCTGGTTGATATCCTGCACCGGGCTGATATCCTGTGCCTGGCTGAAGTCCTGCACCCGGTTGTAGTCCAGCGCCTGGTTGAAGCCCCGCACTCGGTGGAAGTCCTGCACCTGGTTGAACTCCTGCCCCCGGTTGAACTCCTGCCCCCGGTTGAAGTCCTGCGCCTGGTTGATATCCTGCACCCGGTTGAAGGCCTGTGCCTGGTTGATATCCTGCACCCGGTTGATATCCTGCACTTGGTTGAAGTCCAGCGCCTGGTTGAAGTCCTGAACCCGGTTGAAGCCCAGCGCCGGGTTGAAGTCCAGCGCCTGGTTGATAGCCTGTACCTGGACGATAACTTGGTTGTGCTCCGGTACCTGGATGAACACCAAGGCTTGGCTGATATCCTGCACTTTGTTGAAGACCAGCGCCTGATCCTGGCTGATATCCTCCAGACGGTTGATATCCTACTTGATAGCTTCCACCCGACGCAAGTGGTCCAAGCGATTGATCCGGTCGGTACAACGAACCTGAAGGTATGTCGCCACTAGTTCCAGAAGGAGCACCCGACACACCACCAGCTGGTTGCCAATACGATGCACCTAGTTGTCCTCCTACACCGCCGCTACCAATTCCTATTTGAGTTCCTGCTTGGCCAAGACCCGGTCTGGTAAGTTGGCCAGGGCCATAAACTTCAGTGCCAGATTGTGCGCCACGGCCAGCATCAACAACTCCAAAACCTGGACCATAAACACCGCCAGGCAATGCAGCACCGTCCGTTACACCTCCAGTCGCCGTGGGTTGTTGACCGACCTGTGGTCTGTATACTCCACCCGGTTGGACACCATAACCAGGCTTTCCACCTCCGCCAACAATACCAGGGCCGCTTGGTACTAGTTGTCCTGGTCTTTGACCGATTCCGAGTCCACCAACGCCTCCTCCTGGCCTAAGGGTCACACCAGAACCATAATCACCTCCTATTGGAACACCACTGCCAGGTAGTAAAGCACCGCCTGTTCCTACCGAACCAGGTATGCCTGCTTGTCCCAATTCACCAGCGCCAGGTCGTAAGCCAGCACCCGGCTGAACACCACCGGGTTGTAATCCAACGGCACCAGGACCAATTGGCTGACCGACAGCAGGTCCGCTTCCTGCCGTACCTGGTGCGTAAATTGGTTCCGTGCCCACTCCGGGTACTTGAGCACCACCTTGTCGTACTCCATCTCGTCCAGCGATACCAGAAGGACCTACGGGTTGGCCAACTCCACCTACTTGATAACCCGCACCAGGTTGTCTTCCGCCACCAGGTCCAATGATTTGACGTCCGCTGCCTGGACCGTAAACGCTTCCGGGTTGCAGCCCAGCACTAGGACCTAAAGGACCTCTAATAACGGCTCCACCAGGACCAGATGGCTGCACAACTCCACCAGGTCCAACAACTCCTCCTTGTCCCGCAGCTCCTCTGCCATACGCATCTGAGGGTTGAGTACCGCCTACACCAGCGCCTGGCAGACTTCTCAAAGCATCTGGTCTACCACCTCCGCCAATCAATGTCATGGGATCTGGAGATCCTAAGGTATATTCTAAATAATATGTAAAAGTCAAGTTCGTTTATTGTTGACAGGCAAAGAATAACAAACCATAAGAAGGTGATCCGGGGGCACATTCACTACAATCACCCATTGAGAACTGACTCTGCGCTTGTCCCATTCCATGGCTGCCAGCTATAAATAGAAAGTCGGGCTTATTATTTAAGTTTAAGTGATTCTTTTTCCTCTAGCCTTACAAACTGTCGTTCTAGAACCATGCTCATTAGCCTCTGCTTCAGCTTTGCCATCCTGTTCTGGCTTACCAAAATTTAGATACTGAGATTGCGTCTGTCCGCGCATGCTTAAGGTGATGGAAATATTAAAAATGAGTTAGTTGAATATGAAGTGTGAAGGTCACTTCGCTCGCGCCAATTAAACTTACTAGCCTTTTCCGCTTCGCTTTGCTCTATCTAAGTCGAATTGGTCATTATTATCATCATAATTCGATTCTGCCACATTTTCAGCTGTGGATGTCTGTAAAATTAAGTGAAAAGTATTCAATATCAGTAATCTGTTTGAGTTTCCACGAGGTAAAAGGATTTATAATGATTTCCGCATCATGTCAAAGTTAACCGATTATACTAGGGTTTGCCAGCGATTTCGACCGTTAGGAATTTTAAAATTTTTATTAGGTTCTTATGAAAAAGAAAGAAAGTTTTCCGGGAAGTGTACCGGCGACTGACTTAATCGAAAAAAACTCGTATGTCCCTATAGAATGGGTTCTCTCCAAAAGTTACCAACCGAAATGACTTAAAATTTCATTAGATTGTTTCTACGGTTTCTGGGAAGGTTTAAAGAAGTGGACCAGGGACTGTCCTGTTCGAAGAAATCTTGTTTATGGTTAAATTGGGTACGTAGGTGGCCGTTTTGCTTAGATGAACAGGAAAGCTTCTCTTCTATCCGGTAAGTCGACCGTTGACTGGTCTATTCAAAAAGTCGGACTATTCCTCTCTTCAGGAAGTGGACCAATGCTGGCTACAGCTAGTATGTATGCTTATAAAATATTTTGAAAATACCGGCCATAGATAATTTAAAAAAATCCAGAGCTATTAAAACATCGCGGTGAAGAGCTTGTAAGGGGTATGCATCAGCTTTTTTGTAGAGTATGGTCGGAGGAAAACATGCCCGACGATCGAAATTAAAGTATGCTCCACCCAATCCGTAAAAATTGGTGCCCAAAAGGCTGCACCAATTATCGTGGCATTAGCCTCTAAAAAATTGCATATAAGTTAATATCGAGCGTATTGTATGAGAGACTAAAGCCCATCGTCAACAAACTGATTGGACCAGATACCCACAATGCGCCAAACTTTGGAAAAGACCCGTGAAAAGAGAATATGTAGATAGAGATCATATTTTAATCGATTCTAAAGCCGGCTTCGACATCACGAATAAGACCTGCCTTTACGCCGCTATGTGTGAATTCGGCTTCTAAGCCAAACTTATATGACTATGTAAACTGTCGTTAAGCAATACCAAAAGCTCTGTTAGAATTGAGAAGGACATCTCCAAGCCACTAGGTTTCATATAGGATGCCTCTTCATCGTGAGATAAATTTTGCTGCTAGAGCAAACAATAAGAGCTGCAGAGCTAAATAGACAAGGCAAAATATTTTACCAGCGTGAACAATTGCTGGTGTTAGCCGATGATACTGACTTCATTGGCCTCAATAACCGCGCCATTAGTTCTGCCTTCGTAGACGATTTCGTCTATCTAGAGACCAGCATGAGTACCAATTGTAAACTCCCCTCTTTCTTTTATTCTCTCGACGAACAAAAGCTAAACTCTTCAAGTACATCATAATCACGTCCTACCATATGACGTAGAAGCGTGGACGATGTCGACATCCGATGAGTTAACCCTGGGAGTCTACATGAGAAAAGATTTGCCAACGTTGTTTGGTCCGTAGATGACATGGGCATAGTTTAGCGAAAGAAGAGACATGGCTTTGTTGCCTAGGTCATACCGTCCGAATGGGAAGATGAAAATCTCCACTCCGTTGGAAGGCTGAAGGGGACCTGTTTTTAATTAATATTTCCGACTGGCGGCAAACAGCGAAGAGAAGAAACGAATGGGTTCGGCTATTATCGCGTGGCACCGCTTACGCCAAAGAAGAAGAAGAAATAACAACATAACTTCTTTCCTTTTTCTTTTCGGGAATAATACATCGAAGAGAAGAAACGAATGGGTTCGGCTATTATCGCGTGGCCCCGCTTACGCCAAAGAAGAAGAAGTAATAACAACATAACTTCTTTTCTTTTTCTTTTAGCTTCTTCTTAATTTTTCTAAAAGTGCAGCTGTAGAAAAAAAGTTGTAAGCCTATTATAGGGTTAATGGCTTTTATAGGAAAAATTTGAAAACAGAAATAATTGTTGATCTTTCCGTTCAACGATTACTTGTATGTATGTACTCGTATATCTTTCTTTAAGCCGAGGTGGAATATCGTCTAAATGAGACTCGCTTCGGCTACCAATGCAACCTAACCTAAACATTGACCTTTATGTAAACAAAAACTGTATGAAGTACAGCCGGATACAAAATTACATCACACATACATTGGAATACTTCAGAATCGCGCCAAATAATTTATGTAATAAAAACCAATCTCATTAACTTGAATAAAGTAAAGGGTGATTTTTTAAGAGCTATTGGAAACTTTTATGCGTTAAATCGCCCGATCTAGGCGGCAAATTGACCGGTTCCGCCTCTCAATAAGTCCATTGTTACGCGTGCTGTGTGGCATGTGGCACCGTCTTGTTGAAACCACATGTCTTGCAAGTCAAGCTCTTGCATTTTGGGCAAAAAAAAAAAAAGTTTGATATCATCTCACGGTAGCACTCACCAAGAAGTATAGTCCAATGATGCCACAAGCTCATGAACCGCAACAAACTGTGTTTCTTTCTGGATGCATTCATGCTTCTGGCTAATCTTCACTTCAAAATCGACAATCCTGCTTATTTACTCAACCGTCGCTGAGCACAATTTTTGTTTTTTTGTGAACGCGTTTCGCTAACAAAATTCAATATTTTGCAAACGTTATTCGTTTGTAAGACGATTCATGGTTAAATTATAGACCAAACTGAACATGTTTGAGAGCGATACAAAACACGAAATGTGCGTCAGCTGTTTGAACCAATATTGTCAAAAAGATAATAGCAAAAAAATCACCCTCTATTAATCTTATCTCTAAACATAACGGAAATAATTTTTAAGCATAATTACGTGAGTAGAACATTTACATACATATGTACATACACAGATAGTATTTATTAAATGTTTATACAAATGACCTTGTCTATACATAAATACATATGTCAGTATGTATGTATGTCTTCAACATATTTTCTTATCAGTTGTCTCTTATGCACGATTTTATTTCCTAAAAAGAGTATTAATCTTTTATAAATTTGAATCTTGAAATTGATCTTGCATAACGCAAAACTCACAAAAATTACTATGTAATCTGCGAGTACATATGTTGCTATATACGATACATACATATATGCATCCTTTTTACCGATTCTCATGACATCTATACATATCATATGAAAGGTGAACGAAGGGAGGAGTCCACATAACATAGGTTAGATTCCATATTAACAAAGGTAAAACTCAGTAAGAGTTCAATTTATTCCTGTTCATAGATTTAAGTCTTTGTTTTCATGTTTGTTTCATAGGATTTGCAAAATTAGTCTGAGGTTTTGATATTCCTTAGAATTATCCGATATGATAACTTTTTGCCATGTCGAAGGTAATATTATACTGGCTCTCTCTTAGAAACCCTCGTCTTTATTGGCTAAAAATCGGAATAATCGATTTTTACGTCCAATTTTTCGCCAGCCAACTCACTCACCATAGACAGGAACAGATGGTAACCACTTGGTGCCAGTTCCAGACTATATGGTGAATGCATACGGGCCTCACAACCAAGCTCACGGAACTTCTGACAAGTCCCTATCGATGTGTGTGGTCTGCAGTTGTCCTGATGATACGTAATGCCCTTCCTGTTATCAAAATCTTGGCGCTTCTGGGCAATTGCTTCCTTCAGTTGGTTCAATTACTGACGATCCCATTCAACAGCGCTTCGCAGATGGAAATTCGGCCCATGAGGATTTTTCTCGTTAAATCTTTGACATGCGCTCAAACACTACTGCGTTAAGTGGTCAATACTTTTCCCATTATATATTTAATCTAAAATATCATATTTCATAACGCCATCTAGGGTAACCAAAAACGAGTCACAGATTACCACTTACACAATTACTTTATACTAAATATTTATTATCAAGAGTGAAGTTAAAAATAAACAAAAATATATTGTTCACTCGTTGTTATTATGGCGGAAACTCTTCAAGGAAGGTAACTTTCTAATTGACCGTCGTAGCACAGAAATATATTTTGACCTATCGATGAACTGGGAATTCCACGAGGGAGAGATATCCTCAAAAGTTGGCAAAAAAACAAACAAAATGTATTGGAGTATACTTTTACCACATTAACATCCTAAATAAAGTAATTTTTCATGTTACTCGTATATTATCTAGAAAGAATTTTGAACAGCTGACACAGCCCAGTACCTACTACCGAATATTGAAAGCATCGTTTGTTATAAACCGATTGATTTTAATTAACCCGGCTTTTATTAAATTTTCTTTAAAAAAAAGAAAATAATTTAGTTAATTACTTTCCGAAATGATTTAGTTTAATACTCAATGAAATATTTGATATATAAGCTTTTTTAAAAAAATTAAAAATAATAAATCTTTTTTATTAGGAAGCAGCATTAGCACCAATAATAATGTCAGTCTTGAAATCTAGCGCAGAATCACTCTGGCCAACAGTCTCTCATCGTTTCCGTTCTGCTATATGGTGCGGAAGCATAGACGATAACAACATCTGATGAGTCAGCGTGAGGAGTTTTCAAGAGAAAGGTTTTACGTAAGATTTATGGTCCTTTGCGCATTGGCAACGACGAATACCGCAGCAGGTGGGACGATGAGCTGTATAAGTTATACGTCGACATTGATATAGTTTAGCGCATCAAGAAGTAGCGGCAACGCTGGCTAGGGCATGTACTCCGAATGGTTGAAATCATTCGTGCTTTGAGAGTTTTTGATACAGTACCCGCCGGCAGAAGGAAGAGAATGAGCTCCACACCGTAGGAAAGACCAGGTAGAGAAGGACCTGGCTTTACTTGGTATTTCCAATAGGCGCCAAACAGCAAAGAGAAGAAACGAATGCCGCAATTTTGTTAAATTGCCTAAACTCGCGTTACCGGTGTAAATAATTTCTTAAACTAATCTAAATATAATATACCTTAATAATTGTGAGTCGCCAACAACAATTTCCTTATTTAATTGAAAGCATATTTGTCTAAGCTCGTGGAGAGAATGTGAAATGTATTCAAATTGAACACAAGGCTCGCTGCTAAACAAAATCTTATACCCAACGCGAAAAGAGTCATCTGACGCTGCGCAGGCGCTAATCTCATACCATTCAAGGGAGCCAGGGATGGGAAGATGCAAAAACAGATAGTCAATCAGTTTTCAAATTTTCAAAATCAGAGCAGCCGGCAAAAATTTATGCGTTGTCATTAAAACAAAAAAAAAATACATATATACAATACATGACGAACTGAGAACCTTCTTTTTCGTCGGTTAAAAAGAGAACTACATTTGAAAAAAAAAAATCTTGGAAATATTTGTAATTGTGTTAACTTAAACCCAAACCAAAGAATTTTGCAAATTCAATTCAGTCAATTTCTGGACCTAAACAGATTCGAATGATTCTCGACAATATTTATTTCGGTTGGTAATATTGGTTAAAGGTTTCGAATTCGCTTTTGATGCTAGCATCGAAAGTATTTTGTTATGCTTGTAGTCAAGCGATATTTTAAGTGAAAAAAAGGCTAAAAAATAATGATTATTTTTTTAAACGACATTTTTTTTTGCTCACAATAATAATTAATAGTGTTTTTAACTAACGAAAACTAGCTATAGTCAGTTAGGCAAATTTATAAAAATCATGAAAAAAGATCTAACGGCAGATCTGAAAAGAGTGCGTTAGTGGCAGACTCTCTGTGAAATTCTTTTGTTTTTGCGGCTATTAAGATAACCATTATTTGCACTCCTTCCAGTTGGAATTTTACAGAACAATTTTTCAAATTCATTCCTTCCGAAAGATGGACCAAATATAGGTCCTTCGATATGAACGGTCTGCGAAGTTTTCATTTCTTAACAGTTTTGAAGTAATTTTTTTTATTTTTTTTATTTATTTAAATTCACCGATTCATCAAAGAGCCAATTCAACTAATATATCAAATATGTATGAGTATATATGTATGAGTATATATGTATATGTATATGTGTATATCATTTACTGCCACACTTACAATTGTTGCTCCATTTGTAGCTGCAATCAACAGCGTGATGCCGACGAGAGCCCAACGAATGGGCAACATTTTAATCCTTTATGCACGAACACTACTCCACAGCACTTTAAACACACCACTATTATTTCAAATAATTTTCGATTGATTGAGCTGTAATGATTTATTTATTCTTAATTAATTAATTTAATAAAACTGGTGTATTTATACAACACATTATAATATTTTTATTTTTTTCTTTTATACGTTTTTTCTTTTAATTTAAGTGGATATTTTGGTATATCTTATATATACGATTGTAATTTCACCAATCAAGGATATGTGCATACATATAAGCGAATATCGTATTTTTGAATATTTTTTATTGAAAATTTATTTTTTCCATATCACATAAATCTTTTTCTAAAAATTTTCTATTTCACACATCACATCCTGTTAGCGATCCACACATATTCATAGTATATTTTTTTGAATTTGTTTTTTTCTTTTATGATTTTTTCCTTACAAAATTCAATTCCGATTTATAGGCTTCCGATCACGACAAACGCTGGATCGCGAATAACAGCAACGAAAACCGATGGCCCCACAATTTGAGAGCTCCAATTGAAAGTAACGAGTAAGTTCAATTAAAAATGTTATGGTCTATGTGAAAGAATAAAAACAACAAATAAAAGCAAGAAAAAAATATAAATATACGTATGTATGTATGTATATATAATCAAGAGGTTTATAGATTTACATTAAATTCAATACGATTGCAAACATACATATAATATACATACGAGTATATATGTATTTACATATACTACATATTCTTATTCATGTAGGACTAAAAAACACATGTGCAATCGTTGGCTGACAATTATTGTGACTATAGACAACGCGTTTTATGCTCAAACATACTTAGTTTTGTGGGTACAATATCTATGTGAGTATGTATGTATGCATGTACAAAAGATTGTGGAAGTGTTGCTAATAGAAAATTTCTCATGCACACCATTAACTTTGCCGATCGCGTGAATCGATCATTTCGCTTCATTTCACTCAAAGCGGCTCCATACATGCTAAGCCAACAGCTCCGAAGCTCAGCTCATCCTTTACTTGGTTCGCGCATTTGGGGCGCGAGTTGTTCACTTCTCTTTTATTTTTTATTTTTTATTTTATTTTTTTTTTGTATACATACATATGTATGTAAGTATCTTTCAATGTCTCCTCGAACGTGGCAGAGACTTGTTTCGAATACTGTTTGCCTTTACTTGGTTAATTATTTGTTTCACAACAAAAACCAAAAAAAAAAAAACACATTGCGTCAAGTGGTCTGGGAGTCTTCTTTTGACTTTCATTATTATAGATGCATATACATACAAATGTATGTATGTATGTACAAAAGTTTCGCATAAGAAATTGTCATAGACTTTTGCCCTAATTAGAGGATAAAAACAAATGGAATTGTTTTGACAATAAACAGCAACAAAAATGACATCAAAATGAAATATATAATATCTATAGAAACATATATATGTACATACATATATCACACTTTTAATGTACTTTCGGAATCATAAAATCTAAGACAAGAAACTTTTTCATCTAAGTTAACTCCGAAAGTAAAAATGTAACCACTAGATGATACATCAGAACCCAAGTAAGACGACAATGGCAAAGACGTTCCATCACGCGATTTTCTGGTCGAAGAAAAGTAAAGCGACACGATATGTTGTCTTAACGACTGAGCTATTCAAGTATGTCTTCACTTCCTTGTAGAATAAGGAAGCGGCCATCTCTAACAAGGGACTAGACTGCACAATATGTATTTCTGTTAAGTCCAGGACTTGGAAGGAGGTATTTATAATGCGCGAAGTACCGTAAAATACCCGAAGAAATGGAGCGACATATGTGATCTATTCGTCGTTTTATAAAGCTGCTTCTTCAACAGCACAAAAAGGAGTCATGTATCTCTCTGTCGCCATGTCTTAAGCAATACCAAAAATCTCTGTTAGAATTGGGCCGGACCTTCTGGAGCCTTTCGGTACCAAACGAGGTTTCCGTTAAAATAATTCTCTTTTGCTTGACTTTCTCAAGTTTTTCAGCCGAGCTCTTCCTCCAATTTGTGGCTTAGCGTGAAGGCACCTATAGTTCATACTAAACCGCTTGCGAACGGTCGATGAACTCTTATGAGAAGCTTTATTTCATAGCTGCTGCGGTAGCCGAGTGGTTGGCATTGCGTACTATAATCCGATGGTCCCGGGTTCATATCCCGGTACGCCTAACATCTTGAAAACACTCGGGGAGTTTGACACTTCCTGCTGAGGGGCGACAAGGATTTGAACTCCTTCGCTGTGAATGTCAGTAGAGACTCATAATCACTCGTATATTGAGGCAGAAAGTAATAACAACTGCTTTCCCCAGACTGGTAAGGCAGCGAAGCGTATGGCTCGTGTAGCGAACGAGGGCAAGGCGAAATATCTTCTATTATCAAAAAACAGTCATCGCATTGCCGTCTTGGCTCCCACGTCACTGTTGACAGTCATAACTTTGAAGTCGTAGATAATTTCGTCTTTCTTGGAACCAGTATTAACACCAACAACAACATAACCATTGAAATTTCTCATGATTCTGCTATATTGTGCGGAGGCGTGGATGTTGACTACATCTGTTGAGCTGGCGATAGGAGTTTTCGAGAGAAAGGTTTTGCGTATGATTTATGGTCCTTTACGAGCTGGCAACCGCAAACACCGCAGCCAACAGTACGATACGCTTTCCGAGATACACGACAACACGGATACAATTCAGGGAACCAAGAGACAGCGGCTGCCCTGGCATGCTTATGTTGCCGCGATAGAAGAGAACCCTACAGCTGAAAGTTTTCGAAGCAGGAACAAGACGAAGGAAAGAGGAAAGAAAGGCTTCCACTCTGTGTGGAGCATCAGTTGAAGCAAGACAATGCTTCACTTGATGTCTCCAGTACGCGAAGAGCATAGATAAAGGAAAGTAAGGCATGGTACATTACGGTTACTTGAGTAATGCGCCGTTTTCCATGCAGCTACACATACTTTCGATCCAAGTTAATATATAATACCATTAAATGTTCATGAAAGAAGGCTTAACAGATTATTTGAAATAAAATTTTCAAAATGAGTTGACGAAACCACTTAAAATGTAGACATTTCCCGAACTTATTTAACAGAATGTGTCCATAACAATTATTGCAATAAATGCTAAGGCGGATGGAAAGACACTCGCTTATGTGCATACATATATACATATGTTTGTATGTGCGTTCATCGAGGCTTAGAAGCAATTTGTTTAAGTAAATTCTTTGACTGCGGCGCGTCCAGACAACTTACAGTGTAATTGCCTTTAAATGTATGTGTTTCCACTTGACGTTTGTCATTTTCCGGCTGCTTGGCAATGCTTTTGCCCTTACCAACCAGTGTCGGTATGTTTTCATTCCATTAAAAGCATTTGCGATCGATTGATCGCGGTAAGATCGTACCGATAAGTAACATTCATTATATAATATTAGATTTGTGGGATGCGTTCTTGTTGGGAAATCGAACAATACATACAAAAAATGCATACATATTTATACATGATATTTGCATAATTCATAATAGCAAATAAATACATTAGGTGTAGTAAAAAGAAATCCATTATTTCTGCATAAAATTGAATGGCTTAACTTTTTCTCCAATGGTTTTTGCCAAACGGTTTTTTGTGCAATCTTTAGCTCTTAGGCAATCGAAACAGTGCAGTCTGGCAGTCAAGCTTCCACTCCGTGAAGCTTCTTTTTCACCGAAATTACCGGAATGTAGCCGAAATGATCCATGATTGACTGTAACACTATCAGGAACATAAACGCTATTCACATTTTCGGCCGCCTGGCTGGCGTTTTTCCTCTTTGCTAGTGTCCATCTTTGACGCACGCTCAAACAAAACTGAATCAACCGATCACAAAACTGCTACAAAAGCTTTTTTAGTACGAAATGTCATCTTTCTAACGCCATCGAGCGGAACCCGATCGGACTTATACAACGCAAGATACAGATAAATAACGAATTCTATTGGAAAAATAATGGACAACTTCTTAATACAGCTAATATATTCTCTCTTGATCTCTATATCCATACTTTAATCTCGAATATCGTGCTAAACGATTTAAACGCCAGTATGGACAAGGAAGGTATCTTCTAGTCGCAAAATCCATGCGATTTGCCAAGGCGAGATATATGGTCGTGTGTTATGATACAAGATTTCAGCATCAAGCTGCAATACGAGCTATTTATATCTCGGGATCAAGGAATGAAAACAAATAATAATCATCGCAAATCGCTTTGTTGTATTTTAGGATATTCTCCAATTGTCGAAGCACTACTTCCACTCTGATTTGGATATCTTTAAAATTTGCTTTCTGTACGCATCAACCTCTTCTTCAGGTATTGAGCGTTAACCGCTCGGTTTATTTTCTCGTACGTACCATATGGTGGATATCTGATCAGAAATACAGTTGTTTCTGTCGATGTGTGATGGCTTGCATTGTCGTGCTGAAGAGTGGTCCGTCTTGGATGGTTGGTTTTCATTTCTTTATTGAAAGACAACTGGGAAACAAAGGGTTGTACGTATACACCACTGAGTACATCCATGATTTATCACCTATCCAGATGTCGAAGACGTGTTTCGAAACACCGCTTGTTTTAATATTTCTCTCGATCAACGGACACGTTCCTTTTTATGAGCGATTATCTAAATGAACAAATATTTTTACTGTCAAATGTTCATGCAATATTGAATCTTTGCTGGTCCCACTAATGCCTATAGTAGTCTCAATCTTACGATAGGACCTATGGCGATCTTACAAAATCAGTTTCCGTAAAGCGTAATAGTTTCCGGGACAACAATCGCTTTGAACGACTTTCACAAAATTCGTCGCGGAGTGATCCACGACGATTATGGTGAATTAAATCCATCGATAAAGGCTGTTTCTAGTTGGAGCTTCTTTGCCAAAAATTGAATTAAGCGTTTCGTTACTGTATTGCTGAATTCATCCACGTCGAAAGTTGTTAAAACCCATTGCGGGAGGTATCAAGTTGCCCTGATTGTTTTTCGTATGTCAAAACGTTCTCAGAATGTACTATATCTAGGATAAAATTGTCAGCTGCAGGATTGCAGTACTAGGGATGCTAAATCCCGATACATAAAAGTCAATCCTCGTATATAGCTGCTTCGGATTAAAAACTCGAAGCGATCATACCACAGAAATATACTTGCCGGCTTCTGCGCAATTAAGAGCACCCATCAAAGGATACAGGCATTATTGGTTGTCTTGTTCTCTGAAAGCACTAAGTAAAGGAGAACTGTGAAACGACGCTTTAAGCTCCTTACGTACCGCTAAAAAAGAAACTATAGGTTTCCGACAATGAGCGGAAGTATGAACAGCTGAAGATGCTGGTCGATGTATAATGCTTGAAAATTCTGTTGTATAAAAAGATACGGCGAGTTACAGAAAATTTCAACACCAGAACATACTCATCTAGAAACCATAAAAGTAATCTGAAAACCGATATTCTCAATAGCAATGAAAGAA